TGAGGAATCACCACACTGTCTTCCACAATAGTTGAACTGATTTACACTCCCACCTATAGTGTATAAGGCTCTTTTTCTCTGCAACCTTGCCAGCATTTGTTTCTTTTTGACTTTTTGATAATAGCCATTCTGTTGTGAGATGGTATCTCATTGTGGTTTTGATTTGCATTTCTATAATGATCAGTGATGTTGAGCATTTTAAAATATGATTTTTGGTTACATGGATGTTTTCTTTTGAAAAGTGTCTGTTCATGTACTTTGCCCACTTTTTTTTTTTTTTTTTTTTTTTTTTTGAGACGGAGTCTCGCTCTGTCATCCGGGCTGGAGTGCAGTGGCCAGATCTCAGCTCACTGCAAGCTCCGCCTCCCGGGTTCACGCCATTCTCCTGCCTCAGCCTCCCGAGTAGCTGGGACTACAGGCGCCCACCACCTCGCCCGGCTAGTTTTTGTATTTTTTAGTAGAGACGGGGTTTCACCGTGTTAGCCAGGATGGTCTCGATCTCCTGACCTCATGATCCGCCCGTCTCGGCCTCCCAAAGTGCTGAGATTACAGGCTTGAGCCACCGTGCCCGGCCCTTTTGCCCACTTTTAATGGAGTTTTTTTCTTGTTAATTTGTTAAGTTCTTTATAGATGCCGGATATTAGACCTTTGCCAGGTACATAGTTTGCAACAGTTTTCTCCCATTCTGTAGGTTGTCTGTTCACTCTGTTGATATTTTTCTTTTCTGTGAAGAAGCTCTTTAGTTAATTAAATCCCATTTGCCTATTTTTGCTTTTGCTGCAATTGCTTTTGGTGTCTTTGTCATGAATTTTTGGCCTATTTTCATGTCCTGAATGGTATTGCCTAGGTTGTCTTCCGGGAGTTTTTATAGTTTTAGGTTTTACATGTAAGTGTTCCATTCATCTTAAGTTAATTTTTGTGTATGATGTATGGAAGGGGTCCAGTTTCAATCTTCTGCAAATGGCTAACCAGTTATCCCAGTAACATTTAGTAATAGGGAATCTTTTCCCCATTGCTTGTGGGGTTTTTTGTTGTTGTTGTTTTTTGTTTTCTTGAGATGGAGTCTCACTCTGTTGCCCAGACTGGAGTGCAGTGGCATCCATTGCTTATTTTTATCAGGTTTGTGAAAGATCAGATAGCTGTTTAGTTTTAGGTGTGCATCCTTATTTCTAAGTTTTCTATTCTGTTCCATTTGTGTTTGTGTCTGTTTTTGTTCCAGTACCATGCTGTTTTGGTTATTGTAGCCCTGTAGTATAGTTTGAAATTGGGTAGCATGATGCCTCCAGCTTTGTTCTTTCTGCTTGGGATTGCCTTGGCTATTCAGGCTATTTTTTGGTTCTATATGAATTTTAAAATAGTTTTTTCTAGTTCTGTGAAGCATGTCATTGGTAGTTTGACAGGAATAGCATTGAATCTATAAATTGTTTTGGGCAGTATGGCCATTTTTACAATATTGATTTTTTTAAATCTTAAGCATGGAATTTTTTTCCATTTGTTTGTATTATCTAGTTTCTTGAGCAGCATTTTGTAGTTATCCTTGTAGAGATCTTTCACCTTCCTAGTTAGCTGTATTCCTAGGAATGTTGTCCTTTTCTGTGGCAGTTGTGAGTGGGATTGTGTTCTTTATTTGGCTCTCAGCTTGACTGTTGTTGGTATATGGCAATGTTAGTTATTTTCAAACATTGATTTTGTATCCTGAGACTTTACTGAAGCTGTTTGTCAGCTTAAGAAGCTTTTGGGGGCAAGATTATGGGATTTGTTAGGTATAAGATCATGTTATCTTCAAACAGGGATAGTTTGACTTTCTGTCTTTCTATTTGTATGCCCGTTATTTTTTTATCTTGCCTGATTGCCTGGCCAGGACTTCCAACGCTATGTTGAATAAGAGTGGTGAGAGAAGGCATCCTTGTCTTGTGCCAGTTTTCAAGAGGAATGCTTCCAGCTGTTGCCCATTCAGTATGGTATTGACTGTGAGTTTGTCATATATGGCTCTTATTAATTTGAGGTATGTTCCTTCAATATCTAGGTTATTGAGAGTGCTAATTGTGAAGGATTGTTGAATCTTATTGAAGGCCTTTTATGCATCTATTGAGATAATCATGTTGTTTTTGTCTTTAGTTATGTTTATGTGATAGACCACATTTATTGTTTTCCATACGTTGAACTAACCTTGCATCCGGGGATAAAGCCTACTTGATCATGGTGGATATGCTTTTTGATGTGCTGCTGGATTCGGTTTGCCAGTATTTTGCTGAGGTTGAGGTTTTTGCATTGATGTTCATGAAAAATATCAGCCTGAAGTTGCCTACTTTTGTTCTGTCTCTGCCAGTTTTGGTATCAGGATGATACTGGCTTCAGAGAGTGTGCTAGGGAGCAGCCCCTTCTCCCCAAGTTTTTGGAAGAGTTTCAGTAGGAATGGAACCAGCTCTTCTTTGTACATCTGGTAGAATTCAGATGTGAATTTTTCTTATCCCGTGCTGCTTTTTGGTTGGCAAGATATTACTCAATTTCAGAGCTCATTATTTGCCTGTTCAGGGTTTGAACTTATTTCTGGTTCAGTCGCAGGGGGTGTATGTGTCCAGGAATTTATCCATTTCCTGTAGCTTTTCTAGTTTATATGCATAGAGGCATACATAATATTCTCTAATTGTTGGTTGTATTTCTGTGGTGTCAGTGGAAATATCCCCCTTGTCATTTCCTATTGTGTTTATCTGAATCTTCTCTCTTTTTTGTTTTATTAGCTTAGCTCATGGTCTATCTATTTTATCAATTTAAAAAAAAAAAAAAAAACAACTCCTGGGGCTGTCCTGAGACTCCCTCCTCCTCCTCTTCCCTCCACAGCTCTCCCGGCTTCTATCCACAGCTGTGCTCCAGATGGGGAACACCTGTGGGTGCAGTAGGGTACAAATACTCAGACTCCAGCATGCAGAAGAGCCCCGGCTCCCTGCTGTTTCCATATCCAAGTCCAAGCTTGTCTACAGCTTCAGCAAATCCAAGCCTCCCTGAATTTCCTGCAAGACCAAACTGAGCCCTACAACCCCCACTACACTGGTTAGCTGCCAGTCGCAGCCCCTGCTGCCTCCTGAGCCGCTGTCTGTATAGTTCTGAAGTCCTACAAGAATTTTGAGATCCTAAGCCGACTCTCACCCCAAAGAGGTAAACAACCAGGGGCCTCCAGGGGTAGAGAACATACCCAGACAGGTTCCGCTGCCTGTAGGCTTGATGTCCTTCCCCTACAACACACCATGCTTGCTAGGCTGGAAGAGGGGCTCCAGAAACTTGGGAAACCTGGGCCTATAGCTGGCATGTGGAAAAGAGGCCTGGAAAAGCACCACTCCTGTCCATGAAGCCCCCAGATGGAGCCAGGTAATTGGGAAATACATGGGCACCCAGGCTGACCCCCACTCAGACCGAGGTGGGAACTGCAGCAGTGACTTGCCCCCTCTGCCACTCTGGCTGTACCACTACAGGAGGGAGGAGCATCTAGCCCCACGCATGAGTGGAGACACTAGGTGTAGGCAGGTTCCAGTGGATGCTGCAGCTGAACCTTCCCAACCAGGTCCATGCAAGGCCATCTCAGATGTGTGCGCCCCTGGGTTGGGCAAGGACACCCCTCAGAGTGAGAGCCACTGAGCAGGGCTGTCACAGAAGCTCCTTTTCCTGCTCCGAGAGCAGGTTGGGGGAGTATGGGGGACCTCTCCCTGCTCCCAGCTGCTTCCAGGAGCCACTTCTTTCGAGATGAGGCACTCTCCTGCCTGCCTGTTCCCATTTGGCTGCAATAGACCATTGCCAACATTCAGAGAACAAAAAGGGGCCTCACCTGTTTCCCCGACACATCAAAGGCAGGTGGGTATGCCCAGGGGACCTGGGGTAGAACCTATACCTCGGCCCACCCCCAGGCTATGCTGGCTTCATCTTATCTGTGTGATGGGGGTGGGGGTGGGAATTACCAAGAGACCATCACACGGGCCATGGACAAGTTCTACAAGAGTCAGGTAGAAAATCACCGTGCATGCTGCCCGGCAACCAGATCACACACACATCTCTTATTTGACAGCTTCCCCAAAGCAGGCTTTGAAGTCCGGGCTCCCCAAGAAGCCTGGGGAGGAGACTCTGCCAGGCTAAACGGCCTGTCCCCAAAGGTGCCACCCTCAGTCTCATCCTGACAATCTTGGGTTATTTTTGCCCTGAAGTTTTGGAGTGGGGGACAGGGAGACAGCAGACAGTACACATTAGCCACCTTTCCAGAGAGCATCAGCCCTCCAGACTGGGCAGGTCAGACCTCCACTTGGGCGTTTTTCTCACTGGTTGCCAGTTGGGGGAAGCAGCATTGTGAGCACCTGCCCATCTCCCCAGGTCCTGTTCAGAAACCCAATCTGTGCCTCTGGAGAGACTGCCCCGAGCACACAGGCCGAGCAACCACCATCTATGGCCCCCAGGACCTAATCCCCTTCTACATAGGGGTCAGTGCATGTGAGCATACACTGGGCTTGATTTCTACCCACTAGTCCCTGCCAGATATCCCATGCCCACCTCAAAAGAATGAGGCCACACAAACACACCCAGGCCGTCATGGTGATGGAGTGGCTGGGGTCCTACTTGCCCACCCTTCATTGCTGGTTCAGAGCCAGCTGCCTGACCGCATTCCTACCCTGAGATGGGACTTTGGGGACATTGCCCACCTGGGTCACTGACCACTTTTAGGGTTCAAGAAACAGGGCAAGCTGGTCCCCTAGAAGTCTGGAACATGGGCTAAGCCAAGGCTTGCCTTCAGAACAGGTTTTCCACCACGTAGCCGCCCAAGGCCCAGGGCATCCCCAGGTTCATGTGAAGCCTGCCTGCCATGTCCACAGCCCATGCCCACCCCTCCTGGAGCCACTGGAATGCTTGTTCCTGGGCACGCGACAAACCCAGACAGCTTCAGCCTTGCAGGACAACCGTGCACACCTGGCAGCCGTAGCCAGAGGGCCCATAGAAGTTGGAGGTGAAGCCAGATGTTATGAGAATACTTTATTCAGCAAAGTCGTATGCTATAAAAATGCTTTAAAATGCAGCAGGAGGAGAGGTGAAGACACGAACAAGTGCGTAGTGACACATGGCAGTCAGAACACAGTAAAGAATCCACACTGCTTCCCCCCTTTACCTAGAAAAGGAAAGTTCTAGGCCTCCTCCTCCTCCTCCTCAGCATATTCCTCAAACTCCTCCTCCTCAGCTGTGGCATCCTGATACTGTTGATACTCAGAAACCAGGTCATTCATGTTGCTCTCCGCCTCCGTAAATTCCATCTCATCCATCCCCTCGCCCGTATACCAATGGAGGAAGGCCTTGCGCCGGAACATTGCTGTAAACTGCTCTGAGACACGCTTGAAGAGCTCCTGGATGGCCGTGTTGTTCCCAATGAAGGTGGCTGACATTTTTAGCCCCCGGGGCGGGATGTCACAGACGGCTGTTTTGACGTTGTGGGGGAGCCAGTCAGCGAAGTAGCTGCTGTTCTTATTTTGAATGTTGAACATTTGTTCATCCACCTCCCTCATGGGCATGCGACCCCTGAAAATGGCAGCCGCCGTTAGGTAGCGGCCATGACGGGGGTCACACGCGGCCATCATATTCCTGGCGTCAAACATCTGCTGTGTAAGCTCAGCCACCGTCAGGGCCCGGTACTGCTGGCTGCCCCGGCTGGTCAGGGGGGCAAAGCCGGGCATGAAGAAGTGCAGCCGGGGAAACGGGACCATGTTCACGGCCAGCTTCCGCAGGTCAGCATTCAGCTGGCCTGGGAAGCGCAGGCACGTGGTGACCCCGCTCATGGTGGCAGACACCAGATGGTTCAGGTCACCGTAGGTGGGCATGGGCAGTTTCAGGGTCCTGGAACAGATGTCGTATAACGCTTCGTTGTCTATACAGAAGGTCTCGTCTGCGTTTTCTATGAGCTGGTGGACAGAGAGGGTGGCGTTGTAGGGCTCCACCACCGTGTCTGACACCCTGGGCGAGGGCAGGATGCTGAATGTGTTTATGATCCTGTCTGGGTACTCCTCCCGGATCTTACTGAGCAGAAGGGTACCCATCCCAGACCCCGTCCCCCCACCCAGGGAGTGGGTCAGCTGGAAACCCTGCAGGCAGTCACAGCTCTCAGCCTCCTTTCTGACAACGTCCATCACTGACTCCATCAGCTCCGCGCCTTCCGTGTAGTGCCCCCTGGCCCAGTTGTTTCCGGCCCCACTCTGACCTGTAAGACAGTACAGCCAGTCACTGGATGGCCAGGTATACGGTCATCAGTGGTCACCATAATGCAAAAAGGGCCAAGTGTCATGTGAGGTGAGCGCACCGTTCTCCCTACAGGTGGAGCAAATGAAACCCCTCCCCCAGAGTTACAGGACAGCAGCCTCCCTGTTAGAAATTAAGTCAGGAGTCAAGCCTGAGACAGGCTGACAGACCTCCCTGCAGGTGGCTCCTGCCCATTTTCTGGGAAGGCAGTAGCCACGGCCCCAGCTCAGCTCCCTGCAGGGAGTTGACATCAGTAGCTCTTGACTTTGAGGAGACACCTGGGCCTTCCTCCCAAAGCCCGTTTAGGAGGCAGATGGAGCAACTCGGAGGATAGGAGGGTGTTCAGGGGCCCTGGATCCACGGTTCCCACGGCCATGACCTTGGGGCACGCCTAGATTTTCAGCGGCTAAGGAACCTCACCCCAGTCCTCCCCCACAGCTCACCGAAGATGAAGCTGTCCGGCCTGAAGATCTGCCCGAAAGGCCCCGAGCGCACAGAGTCCAGAGTGCCCGGCTCCAGATCCACCAGCACAGCGCGGGGCACGTACCTGCCACCTGAGAGGGGCGGGAGGGCATGAGCGAGGGGAGGGCCGCGTTCCCAGGAGGGCGGCGGGGAAGGTCGGGGGTCTCACCGCAGGCCTCGTTGTAGTAAACGTCGATGCGCTCCAGCTGCAGGCGGCTGTCCCCGTGGTAGGTGCCCGCGGAGTCGATGGCGTGTTCGTCCGAGATCACCTCCCAGAACTGCGAGACGGGAGGGGCCGGACAGGCCAGGGCCAGTCATGGGGGTGCCCCAGCTCCTCTCCCACCCCCACCCTCATCCGCACCCCCACCCTCATCCGCACCCCCACCCTCATCCGCACCCCCATCCCTAGGCCGCCGTGTCCCTGGGTCCACCCCGGCCGCCTCGCCAGCCGCCCAGTCCCACCACGTCCCCGGCAGGGACCCGCCCCCGCCCCCACCACTGCCAACACCTTCCCTGGCCACCCGCAGGCCCGAGCTGGGCCCTCAGAGCCCCCACTGCCAACCTTGGCGCCGATCTGGTTCCCGCACTGCCCGGCCTGCGTGAGCACGATCTCCCGCATGGCTAAGGCGGGATCAGGGCGGCAGGAGAGACGCGAGGAGGAGGAGCAGACGCGCAGTGACCCAGCCCGCCCTCCGCCAACGCTGAAATAGCCCCGCGCCCACCTCCCCCAGCCTCGCATCGGGCTCCCAGAATAAGCAACAGCTTTACTTCCACACAGGTGTACCCACCTGTGCATCCCTTGGCGTTGAACGTCTGTTGGGGAGCTCAGGTGTCCCTGCTGTGGTCCCTTCCACGTTGGGGAAAGCTGGTCAGCTGGAGAACTTCCTCCCACGTCTTTACTAAGACTCAATTTCTAGCTGACCCGAAACTGAATTTTCCTCCCATGTGGGAGGGGAGGACTCTTGTTTCCATACTCACAGAGTGCCTTGCACCTGCCCTAGATTGAGGACATATTTTTGTAATTGATGAGTCCTTTCCTCTGTTAGGAGACCTGTGGTTAGGAAAGGCCTTCCGTAAGTTAACTCTACAGGACTTCATTGTAAGTTTGACTTTGGAGCAGTTCAAGCCCGCAGTAAGCTATGGGTGTTAGAGATAGTCAGGTCTTCATTATAAGCTTTACTTTGGAGCAGTTCAAACCCACAGTAAGCGATGGGTGTTAGAGATAGTCAGGCCTCTGATTTAGCTAGAGTCTTCTTTAGAGTAGGATTAGCCCTTTCACCTTTCCAGAGGACCACGGTCTCCACGCAGAGTGAAGGTCATATTGGATTCTTCAAGCTGAGGGTAGGTGTTGGGATACGCCTGCCGCGAAAGATGGGCCATTGTCACTTTGCAGGCTTTTAGATGACCCAAACTGAGGAGCTATTTCTTCTGGTAAACATTTTTCAGATGGGGTGGGGAATGCCTCGATCTAACCGGTGAAGGTATCAGTGAGCATTAGCAAATATTTGAATCCCCTGCAGAAAGGCATCTGAGTAAATTAGAGTTGCCAGTTCTCACCTGGATAGGTTCCTCAATGTTGGACAGGTTTAACTGGAGAAGGAGAAAATTGCTGGCCATTTGGGTCTTGTCAGGCACAGAGCATGCAGGTGTCAGCTGGTTGATTCTGTGTGGATTGTTTTCCTTGGAGTGGGGGTCTTGTCTTGGTGTCCCTTCATGGTGTTGCTGAAAGATGTTGCTGGAAAAGAGGGTCCTGATACAGACCACAAAGTAGGATTCTTAGATCTGGTGCAGGAAAAAAATTGAGGTGAGTCAGCACAGTGAAAGAAGCAAGTTTATTAGAAATGACTTCATTACAGAGTTGGACATTCTCAGAAAACAAGAGCAGGAATGTACTGTCTTTTGTTAGTGTCTCTACTTATAAGTAACTATAAACAGAAAGAGTTATAATTAAACTTGGAAGGTGCAGATATACTCACTAAAGCCAGGGGCTATTTGTTTTAACAATGACTGTTAACCTGTTGACCTAAGCTAGCTCATTAATATTAATCCTTACCAAAAAAAATGCTGCACTCCTAGGACATTTATACACTTTTCAGACTTGGTGGAAGATGTCTTGTATGGCCACAAATATTCTGCAATTGTAATTTGTGGCCACCTAAAAAATGTGGCTATTTGCAGACCATAAGTATTAACCTTCTAGATGCCTTGTGAATACCTATGTATTTATTTATTATTATTTTGAGACAGAGTCTTGCTCTGTTGCCCAGGCTGGAGTGCAGTGCACCACCTTGGCTCACTGAAACCTCTGCCTCCTGGGTTCAAGCAATTCTCCTGCCTCAGCTTCCCAGGTAGCTGCGATTACAAGCATGAATCACCACACCCAGCTAATTTGTGTGTGTCTTTAGTAGAGATGGGGTTTCACTCTGTTTGCCGGGCTGGTCTCAAACCTCTGACAACAAGCGATCTGCCCACCTTGGCCTCCCAAATTGCTGGGATTACAGGCATGAGCCACCGCTCCCAGCCACAATGAGGTTTTTAAATAATTCAAACTGATTTCCTGCTGTTGAGCAGGGAGCTGAGCAAATTCAACAGATTGTGGGCCTAAAGTAGGAGAAGACTGAGGACAAACTCTAGAACACATGTGATTAAATTAATTACAATTGATACCAAATCAAATTTAATGAGGCTGTACCGCTTCGTTTCAAGATGTTTCCCCTCATTTTGAAATGTGGTGTTATTCAGTGGAAAAGAAAAATAGTGTTTATCTCCAGAGTAAAGAACAGGGTTCTCTGCAGGGATTGATTGAGAGCTATGGCTCAGGATTAAAAATCTTTTTTTCTACTTATAAACTAAAAATTATTTTCTAAGCTCCTATTGACTAAATGGATCCCTCTTCTTGGATAAGGACTTTCCAAAGTTAACCTGAAAAGCTGTTTCAAGCCATGGGTCACACATGCCTCATTATACTCTCCTCCCTTTGGTTTTAATTTTAATTTCAGTTTTTAATTTATTTTTGTGGGTACATAGGTGGTGTATGGGGGTACATGACATACTTTGATACAGGCATGCAGTGAGTAATACGTAATAAAAATAGGGTATCCATCCCTTCAAACATTTATAGCTTGTGTTACAAACAATCCAAGTATACTCTTTTAGGTTTTTAAAATGTAAGTTAAATTATTTTTTACTATAATCACCCTGTTGTGCTATTAAATATTGTCTTATTCGTTCTTTCTAACAACTTTATTTTACCCATTTAGCATCCCCACTATCCCCCGTTCCCTCACTGCCCTTCCCAGCCTCTGGTAACCATCCTTATACTCTATCTCTATGACACCAATTGTTTTGAATTTTAGCACCCACGAATAAGTGAGAACATGTGACATTGGTCTTTCTGTGCCTGACTTATTTCACTTAACATAAAGACTTTCAGTTCCATTTATTTATGTTATTGCAAATGGCAGACTCTCATTCTTTCTTATAGCTGAATCATACCCCATTGTGTATATGTACCACATTTTCTCTATCCAGTCATTTGTTGATGGACATTTAGGTTCCTTCCAAATCTTGGCTATTATAAACCCTGCTGTAGCAAACATGAGAGTGCCAATATGTCTTTGATTTACAATATGTCTTTGAATTTGTTTCTCTTAGGCATATACTGAACAGTGGGATTGCTGGACCATATAGTGGCTCTATTTTTAGTTAAATCAGGAACATCCAAACTGTCCTTAATTGTGCTCCCAACAACAGTGTACAAGGGTTCCCTCCACTCCACATATTCACCAGCATTTGTTTTTGACTGACTTCTGGATAAAAATCACCTTAACTGGGGTGAAATGATGTCTCATTTGGGGTTTGATTTGCATTTCTATGATGATCAGTGATGTGGAGCACCTTTTCATTTGCCTGTTTGACATTTGTATGTCTTCTTTTCATAAATGTCTATTTAAATTTTTTGTCCACTCTTCAATTGGATTATTACATTTTTTTCTACAGAATTTTTTGAACTCAATATATTGTAGTGTATTAGTCTGTTTCTGCACTGCTATAAAAATTACCCGAGACTGGGTTATCTATTTACTGAGATGAAGTCTTGATCTGTTGCCCAGGCTGAAGTACAGTGGTGCAATCTCGGCTCACTGCAACGTCTGCCTCCTGGTTCAAGCAATTCTCTGCCTCAGCCTCCTGAGTAGCTGGGATTACAGGCACCTGCCACCATGCCCGGCTAATTTTTGTATTTTTAGTAGAGATGGGGCTTTGCCATCTTGGTCAGGCTGGTCTTGAACTCCTGACCTTGTGATCCACCCGCCTCGGCCTCCCAAAGTGGTGAGATTACAGGCATGAGTCACCGCACCTGGCAAGACTGGGTAATTTATAAAGGAAATGGGTTTCATTGACTCACAGTTCCACATGGCTGGGGAGGCCTCAGGAAACTTACAATCATGGCAGATGGGGAAGCAGGCATCTCTTCCATGACAGCAGGTGAGAGAGCATGTATGTGAAGCAAAGGGAGAAGAGCCCCTTATAAAACCATCTGATTTCATGAGAACTTACTCACTATCACAAGAACAGAATGGGGGAAACCACCCCCATGGTCCAATCACCTTCTACCAGGTGTCTCCCTCAAAACCTGGGGATTACAATTCAATATGAGATTTGGGTGGGGACACAAAGCCTAACCATATCATGTAGCTATTAATTGCTTTTCAGATGGATAATTTCCAAATATTTTCTCCTATTCTGTGGATTTTCTCTTCACTTTGTTTATTGTTTCCTTCACTTTAAGAAGGCTTTCTGACTTGCTGTAATCCCATTTGTCCGTGTTTTTTTTGGTTGTCTGTGCTTATGGTGCATTATTTAAGACATTTTTGCCCAAACCAATGCCCTAAAGAGTTTCCCCAATGTTTTCTTGTAAAAGTTTGATAATTTGAGGTGTTAAGTTTAAGTCTTTAATTCATTTTAATTTGATTTTTGTATGTGGCAAGAAATAGTTTTATTCTTCTGCCTATGTCTTGCCAGTTTTCCCAGTCCTATTTATTACAAAAACTGTCTTATTTTTTATTGTATGTTCTTGGCACTTTTGTTGAAAATTAGTTTAGCTGTATGAGTTTGTTTCTAAGGTCTCTGTTTTGTTCCATTTGTCATTATGTCTGTTTTTATGCTAGTGTCATGCTGTTTTAATTAATATAACTTAGTAGTATAATTAAAAACCAGGTAATGGAATTCCTCCAGTTTTGTTTTATATACTCAGCATAGGTTTGACTATTAGGGTGTTTTGTTCCATATAAATTTTTTTTTCTTTTTCTGTGAGGAATGTCTTTTTATTTTTGATGGAGTCTCACTCTGTCACCTAGACTGGAGTACAGTGATGCAATCTTGGCTCACTGCAACATCCACCTCCTAAGTTCAAGCAATTCTCTGCATCAGCCTCCTGAGTAGCTGGGATTACAGGCACCCGCCACCAAGCCTGGCTAATTTTTTTGTATTTTTAGTAGAGATGGGGTTTCACCAAGTTGGCCAGGCTGGTCTTGAACTCCTGACCTCATGATCCACCGACCTTGGCCTCCCGAAGTGTTGGGATTACAGGCATGAGCCACCACCCCTGGCCTGTTATTTTGATAGAGATGGCATGAAATGTATATATTGCTTTGGATTGTATGGACATTTAAAAAAATACTGATTCTTCCAATCTGTGAACATAAAAACATCTTTCCAATTTTTGGGTCCTCTTTCATTTCTTTTATCAGTGTTTCACAGTTTTAATTGTTGAGAACTTTTATTCCTTTGGTAAATTCCCACACATTTTGTTTTATTTGTGGCTATTGCAAATAGTATTACATTTTTAAATTCTTTTTCAATTTATTGACTGTTGGCATATAGAAATCCTACTGGTATATATATGTTGATTTTGTATTCTGCAAATTTACTCAAGTTATTACTTCTGATAGTTTTTTGGTGGATATATTAGGCCATCCTCACATTGCTATAAAAATAATCGGTGACTGGTTAATTTATAAACGAAATAGGTTTAACTGGCTCACGGTTCTACAGGTTGTACAGAAAGCATAGCACTGGCTTCTGCTTCCGGTGAAGCCTCTGACAACTGACAAGGTGAAAAATAAATCTGGTGCTTACACATCCCATGGTAAGTGCAAGGGCAGGGGGGAAGTGCTACACACTTGTAGATAACCAGCTTTCATGAAAACTTACTATTGTGAGAATGGCGCCAAAGGAAATGATGCCAAACTGTTCATGGAAATCCTGCCTTCATGATTCAATCACCTCCCCACTAGGCCCAGTTCCAACATTAAAGATTACATTTCAATATAAGATTTTGGATTACATTTCAATATAAGATTTGGGCAATATCATTTTGCCCCTGGCCATTCCAAATCTCATATCCTTCTCATATTTCAAAATACAATCATGACTTCCCAATCATCCCCAAAGTCTTAACTCATTTCAGCCTTAACTCAGAAGTCAAAAGTCTCATCTAAGACAAAGCCAGTTTCTTCCTCCTATAAGCCTGTAAAATAAAAGACAAGTTAGGTACTTCCAAGATACAAATGGGGCAGAGGCATTGGGTAAATACTCCTATTCTAAAAGGAAGAAATCAGCCAAAAGAAAGGGGCCACAAGACCCATGAAAGTCTGAAACCCATGGCCGGGCGCGGTGGCTCACGCCTGTAATCCCAGCACTTTGGGAGGCTGAGGTGGGCGGATCACAAGGTCAGGAGATCGAGACCATGGTGAAACCCCGTCTCTACTAAAAATAGAAAAAATTAGCCGGGCGCAGTGGCGGGCGCCTGTAGTCCCAGCTACTCGGGAGGCTGAGGCAGGAGAATGGTGTGAACCCGGGAGGCGGAGCTTGCAGTGAGCCGAGATTGCGCCACTGCACTCCAGCCTGGGCAACAGAGCGAGACTCCATCTCAAAAAAAAAAAAAAAAAAAAAGAAAGTCTGAAACCCAGAAGGGCAGTTATTGAATTGTAAGGCTCCAAAATAATTATTTTTGACTCTGTGTCCCATTTCCAGGGCACACTAATGCCTTGGGAAGTTCAGCCTTGTGACTTTGCAGGGTTCAGCCCCCACAGCTGCTCTCATGGGCTGGCATTGTGTGCCTCTGGCTGGTATTGTGTGCCT